CATGACTATAATACGAAACCTGTAGTTCTGGAGGCACAACGCCAATCTCATGATCCTCGCACTGTCGATTTTGCTCCTCTGGATGTGTGCAAGTGGTTGTTGGTCTGTCTGGATGATGGACTCCTTCCAATATAGGTAGTTCTGTAACTTTTAGATAGCAAGTAAAGATGGCCAGACTATCTCGTTCAATAACAGAATAGTTCTTATCACTACTTAATAGCTTTTTACTTACATAAATTCCCGAAAACAGTCCGTCTTCATGCATTTGTAGGAGTACTGCTCCAATTCCAATGTCTGAAGCATCGGCCTGAATGATGAACAGTTTGGCGAAGTCTGGCATTCTAATTATTGGCAAACTTTCCAACATGTTTTTTTAATTTCTGAACTGCCATCTGCTGCGGTTGTTTTCACTTCACCTTATTAGGTAGGCCTTTTTTGGTCACGTAAGTCAATGGTGCAACAACTTTAGCATAGTTTGGGGTGAACATCTTGTAGTATCCCTCAAATCCCAGAAAGGATTTGACTTGCTGTTTGGTCATTGGAGCTGGTGCATCTTTTATGCGGGTTATCTTCTCCTTTTCCATGGCTATCTGTCGGTCAATTACCTTGGGTCCAATAAACTCAAGCACAGAATGGCCAAAGTAGCACTTAGATAGTTTGATGGTCAGACCCACTGCCCTCAATCATTTGAGAGCTCTCTTAGTTTCTTCAGGTGGTCTTCCCATCAGGCTGTGTGTGTCAGAATGTCATCCACATAATGCTCGATGTTGGTAGGTTTGTTCAACATCCTCTTCATCATGCAATGGAATGTTGCTGCTGAGCTGACTAACCCAAATGGCATCCTCTTAAATTGGTAACATCTGTTTGGCATCACAAATGCTGTTTTCTTTTTAGATCCTGTCTCTATACGGATCTGTCAATAACCCTTACTGAGGTCAATCTTTGGAAAGAACCTGGCCCCATCTAGTTTTGTCACGATAGCCTCTGGGTTGCCCATAGGGTTGGAGTCGAACTTTGTCATGAGGTTCAGCAAATGGAAGTTATGCAGAAGTGGTTTAAGCCATCCCTCTTCTTCACATTACCACTGGTGAACAATAGACTGAATTTGAAGAATTAATGATTCCAGTTTCTAACATTGCCTCAGCTTCCTGCTTTATCAGGTCTCTCATTGCATAGGGTATCTGATAAGGCCTCACCTTGACTGGATCCCTGGTCGTGGTCTCGATCTTGATGTTACACAAGGTCTATCTTGCCTGGTCTATCTGTGAAGACATCCACATACTGGCACAGTAGGTCTCGTATTTGTTTCTTCTGCTTGCCAGTCAGTTCTTCACTGATGATGATGTCTGTGTATGTCTCCTCTCAACCCAGTGGTCTTAGGTCTTCATTTTCTATGACAAAGTCACTGTCTTCTGGTTCTACATCTATTCATTTCTATCTATGTCTCTATAACTGCACCCATAATGTTTTCTTTCCTCTCAAAGTACCTCTTTGGTCTTCTCGTTCACTTTCACCATTCTGTTGACCACTTCCTGTATTTCAAAAGGTCCTTTCCACTTGTTTGTGCATAGTAGAACTAAGAACTTCTGTCTGACCTTGAAATTTCTATCCTTGGCCTTCTTGTTAGAGAAGTACTTCTGACTGTCGTTGATGAGTTTAGCTTCCCTAGTAGAACTGCTTTGATAGATTTAGTACAGTACTCTTTTCCAGTCCTCTGTTTTGTAAGTCTTTCCCCTTTTGTCTTGGGCTGGACTATCTCCCAGGCATTGTCCCAATTTTTTTTTCAGTGAAAGGTCTTTCTCCTGTGAACCTACATTCGGAATGTCACTTGAGGAGGCTTGGTATCTTACTTGTTCTTCTTTGCTTGAGCTCTTGTGGTGACTGCAGGTGCCTCTACAGTCTTCTTTCTGTCTAGTTCCTTCAAACTTTCACTACCTGGTATATTTCCAATCACCAAGACGTGTATTGGTGCCTTCATACACATGGCTTCAAGGTCTCCCACGTAGTATTGAGTATCCACGTTTATTTTTGCTATGGGAAATGTTTTCACTGCTCTATCAATTAGCACATACAGGCCAACCTTGCCCATCATCTGATACTAGACTGGTTCTTACTGCTGCATTATTGCACCCAGCATCTCGTAGGACTTTCATTTTCTTGTCCACGACATAGCCTTCACCTACTGGCATGTTGTGATTTGTTGTCACCTTTCGATGTTTGTTACATGCTCCAATCACTACTGGCACTGTTGATCCATTTGCTAACTTGAGCTAACCATCAGTCGTGCACTGATTAATCGTGGAAATAATATTTCCTTGTGGTGAAACTGATGAGTTGTCTCTATTGTATTTCTTCTGGCAGCAGCATCCATGGTGACAGTCATTCTTTTCTTGTTTCTTACTAGCACCATCTTTGTAAGTAGCTCCAGCTGCTTTATGTTGATATTTCTGCTATTGCTTGTTGGTGATGGACATGCACTCCTTTGCAATGTGCCCTATTTTATAACAAATATAGCATCTCTTGTCCCATTTGTCTGTTAACCCTCCTGTCACATTTGGTGGATTTCTGCTTCTGGTCAGCCATAACTGATTTCGACTTTAACTGGTTATTCTTGAACTTGCCAGTTATACTCCCTCCATGGGCTTCCATATACTGTTCTGCTAGCTTGATTGTTTCATCCACGTCTTTTGGAACAGTGACAATTGAGCATGTGATCATGAACTGTTCACATGTCAGTAGATCTGCCTGTTCCTCAAAACTGTTTTCACGCTTGGCCATGCCAGTCCATCTTATGAAATATCATTGTAGATGCACCACGAACTGAAATACAGTTTCTCCAGTGTCAGGTTTGACTTCTCTGAACTTCTGATGAAAACCTTCTTCTGTAAGTTCATAGCATTTCAGCAGAGCCACTTTTAACTTGTCATAGGCATCTTCTGACATCATGCCTGCATAAACTTGTAGACCTTTTCCTGTGAGGAATAGGCTGAAACAGACTGCCCAGTCATCTTTGTTCCAGTTCTGACTTTAGGCGAATCTTTCATATCTCTCAAGGAAAGCATCCATGTCATCTTTCTGTTCATAAAATTTGGGTAGTTTGGGTCAGCTGGTCCTGACCCCATTGTTATTCTTGGGTCCTCCTTCTATCTATTGGGTGAGCTTGACAATCTCAATTTGTGCTCTTGTCCTCTCTATTTCCAGTCTCTCCTCTCTCTCTCTCTTTTTCTTCTTTCACAATTTGTGTTCTTATTCTTTCTCTCTTTTCTCTCTAGGTCTTGTTGTTTAACAAACTCTCGTATATCACTATCTTTTAACTCAAGCTTCTTATCTCTTTCAATCCAATTATCAAAATCTGTCAATATGGTTACATAGCATTATTTGAATCTCTACACAATTTTTGCCACCACTACAGTTGTGCATATATAAGCCTACTTCTGCTGTCATCCATGTCTTCTTCTACCACCATTTACCACTGTATAATCCTGGCTGGTTCGGTGAATTTCAGGTTTTGAATATGTCCTGGGATTCTTTTACAGTAAATGTCTGTGACTTATTGGCGATACATTTCAACAATAAATGGACAGCACACAATCCACTTGTTTTAAAATAATATATTCAAAACAAGTCAAACATATGGTATGGACTCTGTCACATTGTTCATAGCAATAAAGGGTGTAAAAGTTTGGAACTTTAAGAACTGAAAACTCCAAAATTAGGAACTTTGTAAGATCCAGAAGAACTGTAAAAATCTTCCAGGTAAAACCAAAGCTTAGTAATTTTTATCTATTACAACATAATTGAATGATGGAGTATTATACATTATAATCTAAAACTAATGAATAATTTTCTGGAATAATTCTTCAGTTTTGAACTTTTGAACAGTTAATCTTAAAAAAAAAAAACGAAATTTAGAATCCATTTTTTTTTTCTCAAATTAGGAACTGTAGGTTCCAACTATGAGTCTTGCAATTAATAATTCTAGTTAAACAAGACTACAAAACCTTCTTGTTATTTTCACCAAAGCAAAACATTAAACACAGAACTTTCATTAGGGGATTTATCAACAGTAGTTTCTAAACACTTCTCATTTTTTTGCACAATACCAATGCTCCTCTCACATAAGAAGTCCTTTTCAACTTTCTACACCTCAAGTATATAACTTTACACTGCTTAATATTAAAACTCATCTTTCACACTCAGACCCTGATACCAAGACTTTCAAGATCCTTTTGGATAAATGAAGAATTGTCTCTTCCAAGTATTCTAGCATCATCAGCAAATTTACAAATAATACTTTACAAACAGCCATCCAATGTAATTTCATAAATAAAACACTAACCAGGATGATTTCATTAAAAAAAAAAAAGACTGAAAAACTTCAAAAATTGGTTAGGCGCATACAAACATATATAAAAGAAATGAATGGCTATTGTTGATTCTTAGACTCCTAATTTTAAGTATTATCAAACCTGTTTTATCTAGAAGTTGTTGCAAAGCCTAGACATAACTACCTATCCAACTTAGGAAACAGTATCTGTGAAGTCACTAAAATTACTTTAATAATTGGTCTTATCTCTTTCCTTTCCCAGCTTAGCTTGGAGGAATCATAAGCTTCAAAACATACTATAACTGTAAGGTAGAAAAACAACAACATCTAATCCATGTTAGTTATTTTTCTTTAAGACAAAGAAATATTCAGTATTTGGAATAAATAGTTTATGGATAGCTTTAACTTAAAGTGGTTATACATCTGCTGACAAAAATTGTTCACATTGATATAAAGTTCTTTATGCAGTTTCAAATGATAAAGTTAATGATAAAATGACAAAAATTATCTATATCTAATAATAAACTTACAACAATACCAATTAGAATTATTTAATTAACCTTTTTGAAATAATACTTTCTTATTAGGTTGAGGAACACATTTTATCTAAAAATCATCAGAATACATACTTTTCAATCTGAAATACTCACATTTAAAAATGACAAGGCAGACATTTCAACAATTATCCAAGATTTATTTTATCAAAAACAACAATCAAAGTCCATCATTGTTAGTGTCATTGCAAACCAGTTTAAGATGTATGTTTTGTAGCTGCACCATTTTTGTTCTTGCAAATTTAACATTCATATCTGTTGACTGAACATAAATATATTTGAACTTTAAGTCTCATCTCAATTGTTTAAGTAGAAATAGTAAAATGACACAAGCCTTTATAAAACAAATATTTCTTCCAGAAAAGTCATTAAAAAAGCACACCACATAAGTTTTTCATGCTTAAGATAAAATGCTGAGGGAAAAAATTCAAATTAGGAACCTGAATGGACAAAAATCAATTCTGCAAATGATATTGTCAATTGTAGAATTTTGTACTAGCAAAATTACAGCTATCACAAAGCATGATATATTATCAAAAATAAAACAGGTTATTATAAAGACAGAGCCTTAGAAAAACTATTTCACTTCACTGTGATGAAATTAAAGATTGGAGGATATTTTAATCTTTTTGCAAAGAAATACTGTTCACAACCTACATCAGCCAGTGATTGAAGATTTCAAGTAACTTGTCAAATGACACATCAAATGTTAAGAGCTTTTTTAAAACACACACACAAAAAAAACATTTTAACCAAAGAGAAAATGATAAATACTAACAAAAAAAAAGAGGGAAAGAAGGAATAGCAATGAAATTTTTTTAAATGTACAAGTACACAATGTTTCACATTTCAAAACTGTATTTACAATCACCAATAAAACATACATCAATCAGCTACACATCCAATATTTGTTGAAAGGAACCTTAATTTTCAACTAATAGAAGAGGCAGTTTCATTTTTTACACTGTGCAACAAACTTAGTTAGAGAGAGTTGTCTACTGGCTAAAGCTTTTCTTTCTTTCTCTCCATATTGCAGGGTAAACACCACTTTTCTCACATGACGGCGATACATCCCTTTAACTAACCGGCCACTGATGTGGAATATCTCTCTCTCTAAGGCTTCTGCAAGTTGCCCATCCTCCTGAAACCAGAATCACACATTTTCTAAACACAACACAGATCTCTTAACCTGACTGTTAGAAGGTACAAAAACCAGCTGATTTAAATTGTGAAAAGCAAGTGAAATTAAGTACATTTTATTTTAGTTATTTGCCTAGATTGTTGTCTACTTTTAGATTTAGTTATGTTGTTAGCTGTAATGAAATGACACTCAAAAATTCCTTTATCAAACCTGTCTTTAGTCACTTTTCTATTACAACATGGCTTTGAACAGATTCTACATCTCAAAGTTATTATGGTTGCTACTCTTTAAATTTTGTTCTTCATAAAAAATGAGAAAAAACTAAAATCTACATAAAACATATATTGCAAAACTCTATAAAAATGTATTTTATGAAATTAGTAGTGTACTTTAATCTACTCAAAGTTCACATTTACAAAGTGTTATACTAGGCCATGTGGTACTTCATGACATGTTTTAGTACAATGATATTTTAATGGCACATTTGATTATGCAAGTTAACCCTGTTTAAGTCAACATCCTGCCTTTGTATTATAAATTCCTGCTCCTTTAGTCTCCTTACTATAGCAAAAAGTGACTAGTTGTCTATACATGGACTTAGACAAATAACGGTTGATGTTGACAGAAATTTCTGGCCCCAACACCTTGATATTCGTTATTTTCTTTAAATCTATGTTTACAACATGCATAAAGATCACTTCTGAAGGCAGTTTCATACCATAACAATGGAAAAGTATGAACTAAGTGCTTCATTGTTGTACAAGTCCCCTATTAACCCTCTAAGTACAGGATCAGTCAAAATGGTTGACCTTTAAACTACCAAGGTCTACATACTCTAAGTTTAATGTTGTAAGAGTATCTTCATGAATTTCATCAAGCTTTTAATAAGTTTAAAACAACTTGCACACAGAGTTGCACACAAATTCATGTTGTCAGAGTCTGACTAGATTTCTAACTAAGGTATAAGTACCTTAAAATAATTCTCTTACATTGTCAATGCAAAATCAGTGATGAACTTCAATCTGAGAGTTAGGTAAGTAAAAATGTTCCCTTGAGAGTTTTTTCTCTATACACCATTAAGTAAATTAAAACTTTGACTTTCTATTATATTATTGGTTATAAATATATAATAGCAAACATCAATGTGAATTATTGGCAAGTTGAGCATGGTCTCCACATGTGTCACTTTAGTTTTAACAAATATCAACTGAAGTTATAGAAATAGGGGCAATATGGAAAACTTCAAAGCCATCTCAATTTATGTTTACTCACAAAATTTACAATTTTACTCTTGTTATAGCTAATCGTGGCCAAAAACAAAAACTAGATTTTCAAGAACTGGAAATTAAGTACAGAGGCATAAAAGCTCTCGAGGAGGGAAAAACTTGTAAAAAAAATTCAAACTGAGCCCAGTGTGAAAGATAACACATTAAGTGAATGGATAAAAAATCCAGCTAAAATTAAAAAAGAATAAGAGGTTGGAGAATGGAGCACAAACCAAAAAAACTGAAGCAATTCAAAAACCCAGAGCTGAAAAAGTCACTTTATACATAGTACAGTGACACCGATTTCCTAGAAAAGGCCATAAGTTCTGCTGAAAGGATAGATGTAAACAATTTTATACTAAGCAATGGCTGGTCTTCCCAATTTAAAGCTTGAGAGCATGTTGCATTGATGAGAATACACAACCAATTAGTACAATGTAATACTTTTTTTTATGAAGAACAGTACACGAATATGTATTCAAAAATTGATGAATAAAATATTATATAAAATTCTAAGTGTATCAAAATCAGAGCCTGTTAAACAATGCACATCTTTGCAGGAAATAGGGGGATAATAAATGAATTTTGCTTTATCCAACTTGCCACCATCTTTAAATGACAATGTCAACAACCTGTTTGGTCAGTAAACTTTACATGGACCCAACAACATCAACATAAATGGTTAGCACTTTTTGAGCTGAAGTTAGTCTTTACCTGTTCTCCCAAAGCCTTGACAAGCCACTTTCTTGCTGTCTGTCGAAATTCTTGTGTTTTCAAATCACATCTTACTTCTAGCAGTGGCTGGTTATGTTTGGAGAGTACATGTTTTTTCCACTCTTGGTATATTTTTTGTGCCAAATTGACAACTTCCATTTCTTTATGTTTACATAACTTGTGAACTGTGCGACCTGTTTGGTATTAAAAAGTAAAAAAAAAAATGAAAATAAAATTTCAAAGTTATGTTTATGAATACTATTTCTATGATAAGTAAAATTATTTCTCTAACAAAATTCTTAAATTTTTCTGTTCTATATTCTAAACTCAGTAATTTTCCAAGGAATACAAACAATCATGTAACTTCCTATAATAAATATAAAAATATTAAATACATGTAACAGCAGTTTCTAAGTGTAAACATCAAATTGTTTCATTCACAGAAATTGTTACTTCATTCACTAACAATTGTTTTTAACTTCTAATTTAAGGTTGAAAATTGTTTTATGGCAAAAAATCTTATGGAAGTAATTTTAATCATACTTTTATAGGAATGATGAGCAAAGAAAGAAGTGGATGGAAAAATCAGCTGTTATGTCAAAAGAATATGATAATGATGATGAATGGATATTTTTCTACTTGAAAGAAAGTGACAATTGATTTTCTTTGGGCCTGTTTTTCAACCTTTACTGTTAATTTTTTTATGATTATCATATAGTAATATTTCTAAATATGCAGGTGATATTAAACTGCTAAGAAAAACTAATTGTTAAAGAGACTATTTAACTCATAAGTAACAAGGCAGTATTAAAAGGTGTATATACGTGTGCAAAATGAGCTTTAATATGGACAATATTAAATAAAAAGAAGTAATAAAAGCTATTGTTAAAGCCAAAATGGATTATCAGAGTTTCTTATTTCAAACAATGAATTTCACTATAAGGGTTGTTATGTTTATGTCCAATAAACAAAAAAAGAAAGAAAGAAAGAAGTAAAAGAAGAGGTCAGATTTAATACTGATCCTTTTAATAGATTTCAGAAGAAACCTTATCAACATGGTTGAAATGCTAAACAATTTTTTACCTATGTTGTTATTGATGATGGAAAGAGATTCCTAACTGAATTGTTGACTGGTTGGATGGAAGAAAGCAAAAGGTTGTTATTAATGGAGTCCAGTTAAATTGGACTCTTGTTACAATTGGAGTGTCTCAGGGGTGTTTGTGTCTTTGCTCTTTCTTATTTACATTAATGATATTGATAGGAGCATAATTAAAGTTTGATGATGACACTAAACTACCAGGTATTTCTAGCTGTTCTGTTGACGTTGTTGACTTGTATCAAGTGGTAAGTTGTACAAATGTTTGTCAAATGGTCTTTAATTTTAAAAAGTGCAAGGTAATCCATATCATATGGGTTATAATTTGGATCACATGTTTAATATCAATGTGAACCAACTCAGAAGCATGACTAAGAATAAGGACCTTGGCATAGTCACTCAAGATTCTGAAGCAGTGCTCTGTTGCTTGTAGTAATTCTAATAGAAGTTAACTGTATTTATACACATACTGATTAAATGTCAAAAATAGGTAATTATTTCTCTTTACAAATCACTAGTTAGGCCTCACTTAAAATACTGTATACAGTTTTTATCTCCTTCTTTAAGAAATGATATTGATTTACTAGAAAGGATCCAGATAATGGCTACTAACATGACTTCAGAGATGGAAGTGTTATCTTAAGATCCCTTACTTTATTTTCTCTTGAGAAAAGAAGAGTAAGAGGTTATCTTATTGAAGTTTACAAGATTATCCAGGGTGTCAATAGGACAAAGGTCTCCAGACTTGTTTGTACTATATTCTGCAGATAACAGGATGAGAGGATATAAGGTTAAGATTTGGAAATCACACTATAGGTTCCAGTTAAATAGTTCTCTTTTTCTAACAGGACGTACAACCTACAGAATGAATTGCCAATGGCAATAGTGAAGGTCAACATTTACAGGAGGAAAAGTGGTGATTTCCTGAAAAGTAAAGGGTGGGTTTAAATGTTTACTCTTTCCAAGGGTAGATGTGCAAGGAAAACCTTGAAAGAACAAATTCTGTGTTTAGTTTTTATTTTCTATATATAGATATATTAATATACACATACTACAAAATGTTTAAAAAGTTTAGTTGTGAAAAAATGCTTAAAATCTTGTATTCTCTGGAAGACAGAAGAATTAGAAGTGATTTGATTTAGGTGTTAAGAATTTTTAGAAGCTTTGACAAACTGTCTACGGAGGAATCACATTCAAAGGTAAACTAGGAACCTAAGTATTAGGAGTAATAAGTATGACCTTTGAATACTCAGATTTAGACAAATTATCTGGTTTAGACTAGTTACATCTCTGACTAAATGAAAATTATAACACTTTTTTTTTTCACTTTGCTTAGAAAAACACCTGCATTAAGTCTATTCATTACATATATCTTCTCTACAAAAGAAAAAAAAGTGATTATAAAAGCAAGCTAAATTATAATATTCTTTAAATTTTTATTACTAATATTTTTCTTTTAACAAGTGTTATAAATGACAAAAATTACCTATTCCTGTTGAGATTAATATTTCTTTGGATGGCTGTTTTTTACTGAGCTCCATTAGGGATTTTATTAGCTCAGTCGTAGTCTGATCTCTAAGTTCTAGTATTGTTTTATGTCGGATTATCTCTTCAATAACTACAACACCCTAGAATAAAAATGCAAAGTGAAAGAACTTTTCTTTAAATTTATAAAAATCCAATTACTATACATGAAAATATAATTAACTAATTTCAGACAAATGTAGCTAACTTAAAGGTTAACTATAATATGGATCAATTAATTATTGTTGTCATGATACATTATGTTAGCCCTATTATATTTTTTAACAATACATTCCTAATCTGGTCCCTTACAAATTTTCAAGAATTAGAAAAGTGTATAATAATAGTATTTAAGACACACTATATTGGTCATATCTACCACAACAATATTAGTTGCATCACCTGTTGTTTTTTTTTTTCCTTTGAATGACTTGCTTACTTATTCATAACAATGGGAACCAAACCTTCATGACAGAATACACTGATTTTAATGCTTATAAAAGCACTACAAATGACCAAGTTCAGGCACTAACTTTACACTAATTTTTCTAAAACTGATATTCAAAAAAATGCACATAACAATGCTTCTGGAAATTAAAAATATCAATATTTAATGAAAACGGTAAGATTTCTGACTGTCATGTTCTACATGCATTAAGTTCCTGGAAAACTGATGTCTCTTGCATTTCACTACTAATTTACTAAATAAATGTATCAAACCTTCAGAGATTCTAGGGTGGCTTGTTTAGTTCCTGGTGATGATTTACTTTCAGTAGATATTCCCAAGTTCTCTGGTTTACGGATCACATACTTATCCATTTTTCTGAGAATGATATGATTATGTTTAGTTTCCAGCACATTCATTCAAATATACAAAAAAGGAGATTCAAATTAAAACCAAAATAAAATTTTGAACTAATTAATTAAGAATGGGCTATATATTTGATATCATAAGTGCAACAATGTACCAACAGCATTACTACCATTAAGAGTCCATGCACATTTGTGCTTATAAAATGAACAATCACAAAAATACTACAACAATAATTACATTGTAAAACGTAACTAAATTTTGTTGGTGGCAGTGAATAATTCTTGAAAAAGTAATATTTACTCACATCATGCACTATACAGTGAAAACTCTATAAAACATTTAGATAAATTAATTATTTAAATATTAGCATAATATACACAATTTTGTCCACAGCAATGAAGCCTGGGATGTGACGTCAATGTTGTAGTTTGTTTTCAGTCCTCATAATCATTTAATGAGTACCTTGAAATTCAATTTTCATAAAACATATTAATATAGTTTTAAAAATTAACGATTATACAAATGCTGAATTTTAGTTTTCACTTTTCTTTCACCAATCGTTTTTTCGGTTACTTGCATCAATAGTAAGTGTATTATTATGAGAATCTAATACTATCAAATATTGGAGGTGGTTGTGTTACTGTTAGTACTTAGTAAATAATAATTACCCAAACCCAGGCCTAACCCTCTTCAGACTACATCATTACTGATTACATGTACTGTGCAGGGTTACCCAAGGCTCAGACAACTAATTTACAATACTTTATTTAAATATTTGATAAACATACAGTCGGAAACAAGAATAATAAAAAGGAAATGAAATATTTTTATTTTATGAAGACTTTAGTTAAAACATAATACTTAACGAGTCTGATGGCCCTAAATTCACTCTCACGCGCCTGATTCCCGGTACATATTTACCTCGTAACTATTCAATCGGACGTCACTGAAGTTCTCATTTGTGTCTAACACTTTTCACAACAAATCCAATCTTTTAACGATCGTAACGTTTTGAACTAAACACTTATAAAACCAAGTGTAACGAATTTGTTGTCATGTATTTATTTTTAATATGAACGTTGTTTAGATTAAGTTTTTATCTAGAAATATGCAT